TAGGATAGGTTTTTTACAATATTAATTCTATGTGACAGATATTGTCAATTCAAGAAATGAATTCCTTAAAATGTAGATTCAGTATAATGTAATTTATGATCATACTCTGATGTGTCTTCAGATTGTAGAAATCTTTCACCTTTTACTTAGTATCTTATGACAATCATGTTGGAAAAATAAACATCATTTTTATAGTATTCTTTCTGCCATGAATCTACAGGTATACATACATTTCCCTTACACAATTGACAGGACTTAAGGACGAAGACTCTCATCTAGCGGAAAACACGCTTAATTTTTCATTGTACAACTTTCACTATATGTTAAAGCAGTGGTCCCCAACCTTTTTAGCACCAGACACCAGTTTCGTGGAAAACAATTTTTCCATGGATTGGGGGAGAGGGGGATGGTTTCGGGATGATTCAAGCCCATTACATTTATTGTGCACTTTATTTCTATTATTATTGCATTGTAATATATGACGAAATAATTATACAACTCACTGTAATGCAGAATCAGTGGGAGCCCCGAGCTTGTTTTCCTGCAACTAGATGGTCCCATCTGAGAGTGATGGGAGACAGTGACACCGAAGTGTGTTGCTTATGTCAACTCCGTAATCTCGTTTTGGTTGCTGTCATTGCAGAAAGCCCTGCTTCACAGAGACAGAATGTTGGAAATGGAAGCAGGCTTTTCAGTGCTTTTGTGGCAATCTCAGGATATTCCACCTTGACTTTAATCCAGAACGTATGAAGATCTGAAGTTATCTCCAACATACTTTTAAGGCCACTGTCATTTGTGATCTCAAGCAGTTGATCCTCTTCTAGCACAGAGTCAATTCACGTGGCTTATTCACAAATGCGCCACGGATCCATTCCTTCCCAGTTCAGGTGTCTTTTGTGGTTGGGAAGTAATGCTCAAACTGTTCTGAAAGTGGAGATAGGTGATCATGCACTGGCTGGGAAAAACACGGCCCTGGCTCAGTCTCTTTCAAAATCTCTGCTAATGTTTGAAACATGTCAACAATCCCAATGTTCACTCGTTGTGCCCATAATTCCAGTTTGGCTTTGAATGCAACCACTTTATCTGCCAGCTTGAATACAGTTATCATTCTCCCCTGAAGTGACAGATTGAGTTGGTTGAGCAGGTTGAATACGTCACACACGTAAACAAGTTTTGTGACCCATTCTGTGTCACTGAAATATGCTGCCAGTGGTGACTGTTTTTCTAAAAGAAATCTCTGGAGTGGCTCTCGTAACTCAGAAACTCTGGCCAGTGATCTACCTTCAGAAAGCCATCTCACTGCTGTGCATAAGAGAAAACACGTGTGCTCTGTGTCCATCTCCTCACAGAGCTGCACGAAACACACTGAGTTAAGAGCAGGTACTTTAATGTGGTTGATAATTTTAAACACATCGTGCAAAACGCTGTTTAGTTCAGGTGCCATTTTTTGGCTTAGCCACCATTTCTCCACGGATGATATAGTACATAGACTCACATTCGGAAGTGGCCTCCTTGACCCAAAGAGTGAAACCAGAAAGCCATCCAGTCATGGCAGCTGCTCCGTGCATATACCTACACAAAATGACCCTTCAGTTTTCTTGATATGTAATCATTCAAAGACCTGAATAGTTCTGCAGCTGTGGTGTTGGCTGGCAACAAAAGTGCACATAACATGTCCTCATGAAAAATACATCGCACAAAAACAAGCATTGTTGCCTTGTTGTCAACATTGGTAGACCCGTCAACCTGGACTGCATACCACAGTGACTCATTAATCCTCTCTAACAATTGTGCCTCAATATTCTCTGCTATTTCATCAATTTGTCTAGTTATGGCGCTAGCCAAAAGAGGAACACATGCCACCTTTTGACCTGCAGCCTCTCATAAAAGTTCATGGCAAATGTTCCTGTCAGCAGGCAAGATCAACTCTTTACTAATAGTAAAGGGCTTCTTAGCTTTAGCAATGTGGTTAAGCCACTAAGAATGATGCTCTCAGTGCAGACACATTTGATGAAGTGGTGGCCTTCAATAATTGCTTCTGTTCTTCGTGTTCATGTTTTTTTCCTCTTGAAAAACTACAAAGGCCTGTCTTTTAATGCAGGGTGCTCAGTCTCCATGTGGCAAAGCAGTTCTGAAGGTTTCATGGCTTCGTTGAATAGCCGGTCTCCACATATTATACGAAGCAGGCTTGGAGAATGTGAGTCACCTGTTGCAATGAACCCGTAATTTAAGTAGAACTCTTGGTATTTTCTTTTATTAATAAATGCAGCTTTCATTTTGTTGGCAGTCTTAGAGTCTTCTGCTGTCTCATCATTGGGTCTTTCCCCCTTTTCAAAGAAGGTCTCCAGCAACATTTGTTTTTTACGCATTTTTGCTTTGGTTAGCTTGTGGGCTTACCAAAACTGTGACTGAGACAACAGTGCAGTGCAGAAAAGAGGCAAGGATGGAAGTGGTAACTACAATAATGGTGGGGAGGGCCATACACGGACCAAAATACGTGTCAGATTCTGACTTAAAGCCTGCCACCAGATGCAGCTTAATTGTCACTTGCCACTCACTGGTAGGGTTTTGATGTGAGTATGCAAGCAATTGATTTATTATGGTCTCTGTGCAGTCAGACCTCTCTGCTAATGATAATCTGTATTTGCAGCCACTCCCTAGCACTAGCATCACCGCCTCAGCTCCACCTCAGATCATCAGGCGTTATTCTCCTAAGGAGTGTGCAACCTAGATCTCTCACATGCACAGTTTACAGTAGGGTTCGGGATCCTATGAGAACCTAATGTCAAAGCTGATCTGACAGGAGGCAGAGCTCAGGCGGTGATGGGAGCTATAGGGAGTGCCTGTAAATACAGATAAAGCTTCACTTGCTCACCTGCCATTCACCTCCTGCTGAGTAGCCCAGTTCCTAATAAGCCATGGACTGGTAGGTTGGGGACCACAGTGTTAAAGGACACCATCTAAGATATGCGTTCCCAGATTAAGCATTTATATTTTCTTTTTAAAACCTCTAGCTCATAAACCACTGTAGATTCTATCAAATGAAGCATTTACTGTAACCTATTTTGCTTCAAGAAATATAAAGAAGGAAAATTTGGTGGATTATAGTGATACTACTAAATAATATTCTATCTTTCTAGACAGAAAGTTTTAAAATTCCTTTCACCTCCCAATTCTCACTCTCAAATTAGGTGATTTCACTTTTCTTAGTTCCACTGGAAAGATACAATGTAGAAAAAATACAATAGAAAAGACCACAAGGACAGACACGGGACTCACTAACTATATTCTTAAATACTTAGGATTCTTTGAGTCTTCTTTACCATGGATAATCAAAATACGACACCCATTATGACATGGACAAATTTTTAAGTTAAAATACAATAAGCTGCTAGATACCAAGCCTTGAAGTATAGGAGGGTGGAAGGGGGGAAGATCAGCATTTATTTAGCCAATGAACCAACAACTTATCTTACCTTTAAAAGTTCTAGATTTCCCTCCTTTGCCATGGGCACACCCTTTTTTACTGGATAACCCATTCTTACAGGAAGAGGTACTGCAGAGGGTTTAAATGGCGCTGCGGCAGGGTAAACGCTAGGCCAGTCCTGGTCAACAGCCATTTTCTCTGTCCTAGGAGGTAGTGCCTAAGAAACATAAAATAGTTTCATATTTTAAATGGAAAAATTCTTTAATTTTGAAGCAAAAAAGCAATTACAAGAAATTAAAGCAGGCCAGGAGCGGTGGCTCACGCCTGTAATCCTAGCACTCTGGGAGGCCGAGGCGGGTGGATCGCTCAAGGTCAGGAGTTTGAGACCAGCCTGAGCAAGAGCGAGACCCTGTGTCTACAAAAAAAATAGAAAGAAATGATCTGGACAACTAAAAAAAATATATATATATATAAAAATTAGCTGGGCATGGTGGTGCATGCCTGTGTCCCAGCTACTTGGGAGGCTGAGGCAGAAGGATCGCTTGAGCCCAGGAGTTTGAGGTTGCTATGAGCTAGGCTGACGCCACGGCACTCTAGCCCGGGCAGCAAGACTCTGTCTCAAAAAAAAAAAAAAAGAAAAGAAAAAGAAATTAAACCAGAACTGCAACGTATGTCGAATCTGACTTCTCACAAAGCTGCTGTTGTTAAAATGAAAAAACACTAAATCTATCTAAGTATCTCTGCATGCTCTCTTCAGACCCTCTGGCGTGGATCCCCTTTTATTTTACATTTCCTTCACTAAAAATTTCTCTATTTATTTAACTAGACTTTTAGCAAAATTTTTACATTTTATTTATGAAGCAGTGAGTTAATATATTTTTGAAATAATCTCTAAAACCGCTTTGATGGAAGTCAGTACATGAGGGGACATTAAAAACTTGGAAATAGGAATATGGAAAATAAAGCATAGGAACAGGGAAATAAGTAAATTAGGGTTAAACTGATTGAATAAATACATAATGAGAAATTATATGTCTCCTGGGCTCCGAAAAAAACTAGTACTTGATAGTTTAGTCAATCACATTAACTTTTTTTTTTAATTGTTAATAAATAGAAAGGGATGGCCAGCATACAAAAGTAGGGTTTACAGTGGCAAAATTCAGCAACGCCTATCTGAGTAATATGAAAACCTGTGTTGTATATGTCTTGGAAGCAGGAAATATTTCTGTGAAAATGATTCATCTAAATGATCATAATTTGGTATCATTTAACTTCCAACTAATGTGCCTTTGTTCTGACTCCATGCTCACCAATTGACCTTATAATTTGGATTTCTCCGTAGAGATGCCCACAGGGTGAGACTAAACTGGTTAGATTCATGCATACATCCCAAGCTGCAAGGCTGTTAAAGACATCATCAAAAACAGTTCTATATTCTCACTTATACACCTGTTTCCTGGGAGTATGTGACTGAGCCCATCTCGCAAAGATGATCTATTCTTTGAGTATTGAGTGAAAAAACAGTCAAAGATTAACTAACCCCTGCCAGGCCTGGGGCCTGTAAACATGACCTTATAAACCTTTCTCTGACAGCACCCTTTTGCCTCATAATGAATATGTGTTTCACGTTAGAACTTCAGGAACCATTATGGTAGTATATAGTGAAGTATATAAATTGTTTACCTTTCTTTTCGACAGTCTTTCAGTTCTGGATGTTCTTTCTGTTGTACCCAAAAGACAACACATTAGTTATAGAGAATTTTACAACATATAGTTCTTCAAAATCAATCATGATCCCATTATTCTAATATTAATATAACTTAAGGTATTTGGTGACATAAAAATGAAACAGTAACCTATTTTGTGTAAGCTCAAGGACTAAAACCATCTTAAGGAAAACAAAAAGTCAGAAATAGCTAAGAAAATTCTCCAGTTATTTAAATATAAAGTTTATTGTGATTGCTGATGTAGTGAACTCATTATCTAAAGAAATATTTTCAATAAATTTTAAAGTTCACTTAAATAAACTCACTCTCCCAAGTAAAAATATCTAGTTAGAAATAAGTATTTTGAATCTTTAAAGATACTTGGTTTGAAATGTTCAAACTATACATGTACTTGTTCATATCTGGAATTGCTCTATTATTTCTACCAAAAAAAATCCCTTCAGTTTTTCCTTCCCTATTGCATATTAGAATTGCCAATGCTACAGTAATATCAAGAACAAAAATCACAGCCATTCCTAATAAATCACACACGACTGTAGAAGACAGTAGATTACTTACTTACATACAATAAATACCTTTTAAAATATTATATAACCTTATGCCTTTCTAAATAAATGCTTTGCTATACTATCATAACAGATATATTTAGTGAGCACTTTCACATGCAGATACTGTGCTAAATGTTTTTTGTTACTACCTCATTTAATCTTATTCATTACAACGAATATAAGTACTATTATTATCCTTATTTAGAAGTCACTTATAGTCAAGAAAACTAAGGCGCAAGGATTAAGGTGACTTTAGCATAGTGTACACAGCTCATCATACTGGAAACCACTATCGCTACCTTCACCTCCCTTTAAAAGGCTCCACTGTTACACTGAACTTCCAGGACCAGGCCTGTTAGTCTTCCTCTGAACTTTCTGTTCTCTCTGCTTGGAATGTGCTTCCCTCCCATCTGCCTGGCTCCTGCTCCGCACGTACACACCATTTCTTCATCTGACAAATTCCTATTTATCCTGCAATATGCATTCATTCATTAAAAAAATCATTTGATACTGCATACCAGAAAATAAGAAGGCAGCAATGAACAAGACAGACATAGTCTTTACTCTCACAGAATGTAGAATCTGTCAAATAAGACAACTTTTTAACAAGTAATTTCAGTAAACAATGATACATATTATGGACACACAGAGCAGAGAACTAAATCTAGTCAACTAGTTGGTGTGATAGTTTATTTTAGATGTCTGGTTTAAGGGATACCTACATAGCTGGTAAAGCATTACTTCTGGGTATGTCTGTGAGGGCGTTTCCAGAGGAGAATGGTGTATGAGTTGTAGGATTGAGAGCAGTGACCTGCTGTCACTGTGGACAGGCACCATCGAATCAGTTGGGGGCCCAGATAGAACAAAAGGCAAAGGAAAGGAGAATTCTCTCTTTTTCTCCTGGAGTGGGGACACTTTTCTCCTGCCCTTGGACACCAGAATTCCAGGTTCTCCAGTCTTTGGACTCCAGGATTTACACTAGCACCACCCACCCCAGCCACCCCCAATCCCCACTGGGGCTCTCGGGCTCTCAGGCCTTCAGCCTAGGGGACTGAGAGTTACACCATCAGCTCCCCTGGTTCTGAAGGCTTCAGACTTGAAGTCAACCATGCAACAGAATCTCTGGGCCTCTGAGCTTGCAGATGACCTATCAAGGGACTTCTCAGCTTCCACAATCATGTGAGCCGATTCTCCTAATAAATTCCCTCCCATATATTTGTATATCTCTATCTACATCTATCTCTATATCTATCCTACTGGTTCTGACTATCTGGAGAACCCTGACTAATACAGTGGGGAAAAATCTCCTGAAGAAATTAACCTTAAGCTAAAACCTGAAGGATGAGCCCTTACCTTACCAAGCCATGGAGACAGGTAGGTTAGAAAAAGAGTTTAAAGAGAGCAAGAGAACACAGAAAATCAAAGTAAGTACACAAATTCAATATGGCTGAAATTTAAGAGTAGAACAGAGAGTCACGGAAACAAGAGGCAAACGATATGTAATAGGCTTCTCAACTATAATACATCCTTGGCAGAGTTCTTGATTTCCTTCTCCCAGTCTTCCTAATCCCTGTAAATGGTATTGCCATTCATCTGACTGCTCAGGACAAAAATCTAATAGGCTTTTCTGAGACTTGTCCTCAAGCCCCACATCAAACCCATCAGTAAGTCCTATCGTCCCTACCTTCAAAATATATCCCAAATCCAACCACACCACCTTCTCCACTATTCACCCAATCCAAGTCACCATCACCTCATTTGGACTACTGCAACAGCCTCCACACATTCTCTGGTTCCGTTCTTACCCCAATAAAGTTCGCTCTCCAAACAGCAGCCAGTGATCTTTTAAAAGTGTAAATAAATCACCTTATATCACTTCCATGCCCTATTCAAAGCCTTCCAAGGTGATCCCAAACTCAGAATAAAATCCAAGTCAAAAATCCAAACGGAATGCCTACAAGCCCTTATAAGATCAGGCCATGACTTAACTCTATGACGTCTTATACTGTTACTCTCTCCTTTGGTCAGCTCCAGCCCCGCTGGCCTTCTTTCTGTTCCTTGATCACACCCCTATGCTTGTTCTCACTTTTGGGCCTTTGCACTTGCAGTTCCCTATGACAACAATGCTCTTCCCCCAGATCTTTGCAGAACTCTGGGCTCTGCTTAAATGTCACTTCCTCAGGGAAGTCTTTCTTGACTACCTTATCTTATTGTACCCTACTGCCACTACTCCCCCAATCCATCATTCTCAATACTCTGCTTTATTTTTCTTCATAGCACTAAGCACTACCTGACATTATATTTCGTTCTTTACTTGTTTATACTCCGGCTTCCAGAAAAAAATGTAAACTTCATTAGATTAGAGACTTTGTTGTATATTCCCAGTGTCTAGAACACTGCCTAGCATATAGTGAGAATTAAATATTTGTAGAATGGAAGAATGAATGAAAAATAAAAAATAAACAAGTGTTAAGACTACAAAGAGCCACTATGACGCATTAAGGAATTTATAATTTATCTTAAAACAATGGAAACCATTTACAGATTTTGAACATGGAAGTAGCAACACAAGATGTGCATCTTGAACACCTCATTCTGGCTGTTGTGAGAATTCAATTCAGGAGAGCAAGGGGGAAATAGGAAACAGAAAGGAAACTCTTGTAGAAATGAGGGATGGTGGGCTACACTGGGCTGCTGGTAGTTTGAAGACAGCAAATTGGAGATATTATAGGAGGCAGCACAGATAGGATCTGCTGATGGACTGGACGTGCCCACCCCTTGGCTGAGCCTTTCCAGACTCTTGCCAACTCCTCCTCAACGCTCCCCTGTCATTCTTCACACTTCTATTACAGCGCCTCTCACTCTACACAGTACTTCACCGTTGAAAAATCTGCCGTTTCCACTGGACTTCTCCGGGGCAAGCACACTACCAAGCATCCCTATAATCTCTGTTACATGAAGGTCACCCCATTTGCTGGCTCGGAATTCAGAGCTGCAGTTTGTTCTGGCACAGCCACGTGCCTCTCCTAATGTATGGGAAAATCTACGTTTCAACACTGTACGATAAACATTACTGAGCACCAGCGACTAGAGGAAGAACCCCAGAAGGAGCAGTTCCCGGGAGAGGGAGGATGCAAGCTTTCTAAGCAAGCGTCCAGAGGACCCACAGCAGAAACCAAAGGATAGGAGCAAGGGGACGCGGGCGCCGAGAACAGAACGACATCCGCAGCTTTCCTACTGCCGGGCTAGCAACAAGCTGGCAGAGGACGTACCGGCCTCCCCAGGACCGCGCTGGCTCAGCCGCCGCCGCAGCCATCGTGGGGCCGGTCTTCCACCCTCGCACCTCCCCCACAGCCCAGAGGCAACAAGGCAGACACTCACGCAGGCTACGAGTGGCCGGGGACACGGAGGTGGAGAATGCACGCAGAGTCCTGGCTCCCGGCTGCAAGCCCAGCCACGCCGTGAGAGCGGCGGCCGCCATGGCTGCGCGGACGGCGAGCCGTAGGGGACAAACGCGTTCGCCGTCAAGGGGGCGGGCCTGGGGCAGGAGGGGCGGGTTCACCGGTTCTTGCCCCGCCCCTACGATGGACAAACAGGAAACACGTGGGTCTGCGAACTCAGCGCGGGAATCAAATGTGCAGGAAGCTACCCCTCCAAAACAGGAAAAAATAATGACACGAAAACAAAAAGGACTTTAAAAAATCGAATCGATGAGTTCCAAGACAATTGCAAAGGAGCACTATAAGGGATGGGGGAAATGTGGCTCACAGAGGTCTGCGTCCAACCTCGCATGACCCGGGAGTTAGGCCATCTACCCCAGGGCCCTGATTCTTTGCAATTGCTACTTTTCTACATTTATTTGGATTAAAGAAATCCTAAACTAGTGCAAGCGATATACGCCAGTATTCTTGTAGTAGTTAAAAGGATGGTCCCTTGAGCCAGACTGCTAGAGTTTGAAACTTCACCATTTCTAGGATGTGTCCTCTTAAGCAAGTCAATGCCTGTAATCCTAGCACTCCGGGAGGCCGAGGCGGGACGATCGGTTGAGTTCAGGAGTTTGAGACCAGCCTGAGCAAGAGCGAGACTCCGCCTCTACTATAATAAAAATAGGAAAATTAGCTGGGCGCTGCACCTGTCGTCCCAGCCACTCGGGAGGCTGAGGCAAGAGGATTGCTTGAGCTCAGTAGTTTGAGGTTGCAGTGAGCTAGGATGACACCACTGCACTCTACCCAGGGTGACAGAGCAAGATTCTGTGTCCAGAAAAACACAAAAACCCCAAAACTCTGGGTATAGTATTGACATACAGTGAACATGTGTGCACGTAGCCTATAACTTAATGATTTGGTTAGCTCGCTCATGGTCAGGTTAGAATAACAAAAAATCAGAACTCATCAGGACCTAGAAAATAATGTTTATCCTTTAATGAACGCTCTTATTTTCTACCCTAGAATGGATTACCATACAACTCTTAATAAAAGTATCCCCTGATACTCTGATTTTTAAAATCAGAGTACAAAATTATAATAACAAGAACAACTGGGAATAAAAGCAACTGACTTTTAGTAAGCACACAACTAGTAGCGCAGAGGTACGCAGGTGTCCCAGAGTATTCTAGCTGTAAGTATTCAGTGTGCCATCGACATCATTCAGTAAGGAGGGGGATAAATGGCATGAAATGGACAAGTGTTTGTAATAATCACCATCCTCATCTTTTCTGGACTCTTCCCATCCCATTATTGCTCCAAAGCAGAAGGATTGTGTATTAGTTTCCTACGGCTGCTGTAGCAAGTACCACAGAAAGGGTGACTTAAAACAACAGAAATTTATTCTCTTACAGTTCTGGAGTCTAGAAGTCAAATTCAGGTGACTGCAGGGTTAGTTCCTTCTAGAGGTTCTGAGGAGAATCTGTTCCATGCCTCACTACTAGCTTCTGATGGTTGCTGCCAATCCTTGGTGTTCCTTGGCTAGTAGATGCATCACACCAACTTCTGCTTCCGTCTTCACATGGTGTTTTCTCCTTTCCTCTAACTATTCTCAAGATTAAAATCATGGCCTTTTTGGTCAGATGGATGTGGGGTTTGAATCCAGGCTCTGCTTCTTTGTGATGTTGGGTGAATACACCTAACCCCTCTGAATTTCAATTTCAAGGAAAATGGGAACAATATCTTTCTCAGGACAGTTGTAATTAAGTGAGATATGTTTCAGAAGGCATAATGTAAATGGTGGTCACTGGAATTAAGCTCAGGGTCAATGCAATAGCCTCTTTTTCCCTGTCAAGCATGTATATTTTAGTAGATAAAGTGCAAGCTCTATACCATAGAAATTTAGGGGCAAAAGGAATATGATCGTATTCGGAGACTTCTTAATTTCTGAGCAAGATGTTAAGAGACTTAAGTTTCTATTCTACTTTTCTATGGTTTCTGTCTTTTGTTTTACTCTCTCCCTAAGACTAAAATGGGTAGATGGCCAGAGCTGGAGGAGCCAGAAAAATACTTCTTATTGTTTTCCCTAGCATCAAGTACAGTAAATTTTATCCTATATTAAAAGTTAAAGACTCATTTATAATGCTATCAATAGGCAATGATATCTGTTTTGTGCAGTGTAAAGAGTAAAGCATTTACAATCTTACACAGAGGGGTTACTGAGAATTACATATTCAATTGGGCAGGACCTTAAAGGTATAATCATTCATTCATGATAAAAATCATTTCTTCAACCTTAATGACCAAATTAATGCAACATATCCTAGAAGCCAGGCTGGCTTCATGGGCATATGATCTACACTTAGAAGGCCTTGTGCTTGGCTTAATGCTCTGCTGTCCTTGTCTTAAAATTCTTTTTTTTTTCTTTTTTTTTGAGACAGAGTCTCACTCTGTTGCCCTGGCTAGAGTGAGTGCCGTGGCATTACCCTAGCTCACAGCAACCTCAGACTCCTGGGCTCAAGCGATCCTACTGCCTCAGCCTTCCGAGTAGCTGGGACTACAGGCATGAGCCACCACACCTGGCTAATTTTTTCTATATATTTTTAGTTGTCCAGATAATTTCTTTCTATTTTTTTTAGTAGAGACAGGGTCTCGCTCTTGCACAGGCTGGTCTCGAACTCCTGAGCTCAAACAATCCGCCCGCCTTGGCCTCCCAGAGTGCTAGGATTACAGGCGTGAGCCACCGTGCCTGGCCAATGATTTTTTTTTTTAAAGATGGTGTTCTGCTCTGTTGTCCAGGCTGAAGTGCAGTGGAATGATCATAGCCCACTGCAGCCTTGAACTCCTGGGCCGAAGCTGTCCTCCCACCTCAGCCTCCCAAGTAGCTGGTATTACAGGCTTGAGTCACTATTCCTGGCTAAAAATTCTTAATTTTTGAACGAGGAGTTCGGTATTTTCAGTTTGCCCTGGGCCTTAGAAATTATGAAGCCAATCCTGTGTAGAACAATTTTAAATATTAAGCTTTTTTACAGTGGATTTTTACTATATTTAAAACCTGGATTAATCCAATGAAAACTACTTTTTTTTTTTCTTTTTGTAGCTATAGGGTCTCCCTATGTTGCGTAGGCTGGGCTCAAACTCCTGGCCTCAAGTGATCTTTCCGCCTTGGCCTTCTGAAGTGCTGGGATTACAGGCCTGAGCCACCCCATCCAGCAGAGAGGTACTTTTTTTTTTTTGAGACAGAGTCTCACTGTGTTGCCCGGGCTAGAGTGCCATGGCGTCAGCCTAGCTCACAGCAACCTCAAACTCCTGGGCTCAAGCAGTCCTCCTGCCTCAGCCTCCCGAGTAGCTGGGACTACAGGCATGCGCCACCACGCCCGGCTAATTTTTTCTATATATTTTTAGTTGTCCAATTAATTTCTTTCTAATCTCTTGCTCAGGCTGGTCTCGAACTCCTGAGCTCAAACAATCCACCCGCCTCGGCCTCCCAGAGAGCTAGGATTACAGGCGTGAGCCACTGCGCCTGGCCTAGAGAGGTACTTTTAATCTGAACTGACATCTTTATAAAAAGTGGGTGAACAAATTATGTCTGTTCAGGAGTATGGTAGACAGTATGCAAATATCAGGTTTGAGGATGGACCTTGCAACCTAAATGTCCATCAAAACAGTATTGGTTTCTAGAACCTAAAGAGGCCTTCCAGAAAAAAAAAAGATAAAACAGAAAAAAAACCAGTATTGGTTAAACATATTATTGTGCATTCATATGATATAGAGTACTAAGATACATGGGTTTCAATCCTGGTTGAACATTAGAATCATCTCAGGAGGTTTTTAAAAACAATTGTCTAGACCTTCTCCCTGATTGAGAAGTTGAAGCATCGGTCTACGTGTGTTTGGAGCTTTGGCTTGGGGTTTTTGTTTGTTTGCTTGTTTTGTTTTCTGTTTACTTCTTAAGTTCCCCAAGTGAGTCTAATATTCAGGCAGGATTAAGAACCACTGGCATCGGCCTTTAAAAGGATGAGGTAGATATAAATCCATCAGCACAGAAAATTGTCCACAATATATGGTTTTTTGAAATGCAGGTTATAAGGCAGTTATGGGTTATTTAATCCTATTTGTGTAAAATATTTTTTATATGCACGTTCTGGAAGAGTAAACAGTAAATTTGAGGGGTAGAGGTGAGACTCCAGAGATTACACTTTCTACATGTTTGTACTTGTATTTTTACGCCAAGAATGTAGCTTTTAAAAAAATTAAATGATCATGCAGAATTTTAAAAATCAGCAAAAGCTTCACATTTTTATTTTCACTTAGGAAAAAAAACATGATATGTCTTTGATTTATGCCTTCCAGCTATTTATAACATGAATATTTAGAATTTGTACCAGGTTTTCTGAAATTTTGGTAAAAACTTTACTATATAAAACATTTTCACAATCTTTGTCCCCTTTGAAATACAGTCACATGCCATACATATAGTGACATTTCATTCAATCAGCAACCACACATGACAGTGGTCCCATAAGATTATGATGGAGCTAAAAAATTCCTATTGCCTAATGATGTAGCCATTGTAACATTGTAGTGCAATTACTTAATTTTTGAATAAATTTACTGTAGCCTAAGTGTACAGTGTTTAAAAATCTACAGTGGTGCACAGTAGTGTCCTTGGCCTTCACATTCACTCACCACTCACTGACTCACCCAGAGCAACTTTCAGCCCTATAAGCTCTATTTATGGTTAAGTGCCCTAAGCAGGTATACTGTTTTTTATCTTTTACACGGTATTTTTACTATGCCTTTTTTTGTGTTTAGATATGTTTAGATGCACACTTACCAATGTGTTACACCTGCCTACAGTATTCAGCACAGTAACATCTTGCACAGGTCTGTAGCCTAGGAGCAATAGGCTGTACCATACAGCCTAGGTGTGTAGAAGGCTATATACCACCTAGGTTTATGTAAGTACACTCTATGATGTTAGCACAATGACAAAATCGCCTAACAATATATTTCTCAGAACGCATCGCCATTGTTAAGCAATGCATCACTGTAGTTGAAGTTATTCCTATTTTCCAGATAAGAAAACAAAGAGTTAAGCCACTTGTCTCTGCTCTTATGAGAATTGAGACTCAAATCCACATGTGATTCCAAGTTGAATGTTCTTTTACTCTTCTACATCACCACCTTCTTGATAGCTTATTCTACACAGCATTTCCGCAGACAGGGGTCACTGTACACTAAGAAAACATTGACTGGGTACTGTAACTTTACAGAAGCATTCAAAGTGGGAATAATCGTTGCTTAACAATGTCAAGAGATGCTGCCTGGGCCTATTCATGCCCAATTTACTAAAGGTGAGGGCTAAAATGTTTTTTTGATTTTTTGGTTTCTTGGGATAAAAAAATGTTAAAGACAAATTATTTCTACCCTTGCATATATTCTTATTATGTAAGACCTTTGGAAATACAGTATCTAATTGTGGCATGTTTCACATCCTTCATCCAATCATTGGCAATTGCTCTGTGCTTTACCTTCAATGATGTCCTAAATCTGACCTCCTCACCCCTTCTCCTCTACCACCTTGGTCTGAGCTACTTTTCTCTCATCCAGATTACTGTAACAGCTTCCAGGCTGCCCGTCTGGACTCTGCTTCTCCACTTTGTCTCCCTACAATCAGGTCTCCACCCAGCATTCGAGTGACATTTTCAAAGTGTAGGTCAGTCAAGGCATTCCTCTCCCTATATAGAATCAAGTCTGGAGTGCTTGCTTTGGCTTACACGTTTGATCAGCTTGACCAATTTTCTGCCTACTTCTCCAAACCCATCTCCTACCCAGTCTCCCCGGGGCTCACTCTGCTCCCTCCACACCAGTCTCCTGCTATCCACATATCACCCCCACCCCCACCCAGGCCCTTTGCATTTGCAGTTCTCTGTGCCTGGAACACTCTTTCCCAGGTATCTGCACTGATGCTCACTCTCTGCGCTCAGATCTCTGGCCAATTGCTCCCTTCTTGCTAGGCCTTCCTTTACCACCCAGTGTATGCAAAATAGTACTTCCCGCACTCTCTGTCCATGATTCAGGGGATATGCTTTGCAGCATCTCTGACATTTTTAAAATATGCATTTAAATAAATGTGCATATGTTTATTGTCTTTCATCATTAAGATAGAAACTCCCCGAGAGTAGACACTTGTTTTCACTGCTGGATTTGTAGGGCATAGAACAAGGCCTACATGTTACAGGCATTCAGCAATTATGTGTGAATGAATCTATCTTCCATTTTTAAGTCTTTTTTTTTTTTTGCAATATATTAACCCAATTGCAAAGGTTGAGCTTGACTCTATGCTATTGGAGACCTCACAGACAGAAAGAGGAAATGGATTTCTCCATCAATACCGCATCATCTTTTGAGAAAATAATAATTATTATTATTTGGGACAGAGTCTGTTTATCGCCCAGGCTAGAGTGCAGTGGTGTCATTGTAGCTCACTGCAACCTCAAACTCCTGGGTTCAAGTGATTCTCATGCCTCAGTCTTCCAAGTAGCTGGGACTACAGGTGTGTGCCACCACGCGTGGCTAATTTTTTCTATTTTTTTGTAGAGACAGGGTCTCGCTCTTGCTCAGGCTGTTTTCAAACTCCTGACCTCAAGCAATCCACCTGCCTTGGCCTCCCAGAGTGCTAGAATTTCAGGGGTGAGCCACCACACCTGACCAAAATAATTATTTTAATTGACAAATGTGTATATTAATTCCATATTTATTACAATATTAAACACTACCTTTATTCTAATTTCTAGTGCAGGACAACCACAAAGCTGCAGATGTGCTCTTCCTTATTCCAGTATCCTCAAGGAGAGGGCTATGGGGGTCAACAACCATTGAGAGGAGGGGAAACACAGCCACTTCTTGGAGGCTGAAGAGGCCACACACCCTCTGTGGCAGGAGGCATCACAGGGATTATGAACCTTCTCTTCCTCCCTTTCCTCCAGGACTTCTTTGGGTCATAGAGCTGAGGAGGAGGGATTTGGGGGCTGGTGTTCCCTAATGGTGCAAGGCTTATTCTAATTTGAAGAACACCGGGCTCAGAGAAGGGAAAATGGTAGCACACTCTTGAGGCTAAATCTAAACTGAAATTAACGATGCAGCTCTGTGTTCTCCGGGAATCCTGTTTACTGCTCTGGATAAAGAATCAAAGAGTGGATCTGGATTCTTGTACTAAGCACTTTGTATACTCTTAATTTTAGATAACTAACAGCAGTCCTATGATGTAGTTACTGTCATCTCCAGTTTTGAGATGGGAAAATCAGGAGGCATTAGGGTTCCAAAAGAAATTGAACGGCACACCCAGAAGGTTTAGCTGAAGAAACAGGACTTCTACTGAGGTGGGGGCAGGGTGCAGGGGACTGACAAAGGATGGTAAAGCTCCCAGGGAACTGACAATGGAAGGGATCCAAGTCTTGGAGGAGGGCCAGTGGAATAGGAGTGTCTGGAACTAAGAGCCAGGAGGCCGGAAGAGTGTGGGGCAATACATTCCTAACCTCGCCGCTCTCTGATCTTGAGCACTCCAAACTCGAAAGTTTTCAACGCTTCCACCATGACAGAACTTTTACAACTCTGGGTCGTGACATATTACTGTTCATGACACCAGTTTAGTGACTTGCAATCAGCATTTTAAAAAATGACGTACAACAGAAACTATCAGAGTGCACCTCAGCACATTTCCATCCTACAGACAACGATGAATGTATTTCTTACTTTGAAATACACTGCCCAGTACCATATTGCCCTCCTATATCTTAATTCAGCCTCACAGGAATGTGCCCTAAATTCCAAAACACAGAAAGGGCCACGGTCATGGGAAGACTGTCACAAACAGAAAATGTTTTAAGAGTTTGGATGCAGTTGCCAGGATTCAGCCCATGTTTCCCAAGTGCTGCCTGTCAGTGAATAGGTTGTTCAGCAACAGGAGAAGCAGCAGCAGATTAAGGCCAGGGAGTGGAGAAGAAAGGAGCGACAGCATCCAGCTAAGCATCTTCGCAGGTGAACATTTCTGCATCTCAGCAATTCCAGTAGTTTAGTCAAAGTGTTTTCTTTACATGACTCTAGAAAAGATTATGGGCTTTGTAACTGGACAGACTTTTTTTTTTTTTTGCTATGGGCTACTTCTTTAATGATGTATTTATGACCTTGGGAGTTAACCTCTTTGATTTGTCAAATAGAACCCTCTTAGAGTCGTGGAAGAGAGATGTGAACGGCACTAATAGATGTGAAGCATCTGACCTGGCATATGAGTACAATAATGGTGATTCCGCTTTGTACTGTTATAATCCCACATTGGTTTTTAAGTACAAATGGTTATTGTATGTGAATGCACTTTTCTTACTGCAACCAGTAACCTAATTATTATAACGTTACAAGGAATTGTTATATGGGTTTTTTTTTTTTTGAGACAGAGTTTCACTCTTTTGCCCGGGCTCGAGTGCTGTGGCGTCATCCTAGCTCACAGCAACCTCAAACTCCTGGGCTCAAGCGATCCTCCTGCCTCAGCCTCCCGAGTAGCTGGGACTACAGGCATGCGCCACCATGCCCGGCTAATTTTTTCTATATATTTTTAGTTGTCCAATTAATTTCTTTCTAATTTTTAGTAGAGATGGGGTCTTGCTCTTGTTCAGGCTGGTCTCGAACTCCTGAGCTCAAACAATCCGCCCGCCTCGGCCTCCCAGTGTGCTAGGATTATAGGCGTGAGCCACCGTGCCCGGCCTGGGTAACTGTTTTTAAATCATAGGTAAAATTAACACTCAAGTGAATCCCAAAGTAAATTCCACCCAAGTCCTCTCTGTGCAGAAGCAGCAGCTAGGGAGGGGCTGGAGCAAGGGCTTAGAGCAAGGATTAGAGGAAAAGATTGATGGGAGTTTTGCATCGGAGTCCTGAACTGAAACTGGTATTATGAATGTAATTAAACCTGCTCTGTAACCTTACCCACCACCTCACCCTACCCACCTCCCACCAAAACACATTTTGTACTTTTGAGCACCAGACTTATTTCAAAGAGTTGTTTTGCAAATCAAACTTTTAGTATGACTTTATTATCTCCTCCCATTTATTACTGCAAAAATGAATACAAGATCATAAGTTTGAAATAACAGCCAGGGTCTTTTTTTCTCTCCATAACTGTGACACTAATATGCTTTAACCCTGGTAATCACTTTCAATCAATGAGAAAAAAAAAGAAAAAAAGTGTCCCACAGTGGAATGATGCAAGTAGACAAGCTTGCTTGTCAGAATAAAATTTCCTTTCATCTTACAGGTCAGTCACATCACACATATCCAATTCAGAGGATGCTAATATAAACCTTGCCCACCTCTCTCAGCCCATTTTTCTTACTCAAACAGTTCCCAAGCAGCTCTCTGATGGAGACACAATCTTCAGTTTCCAGGACAAACTGAGCCACAGCCTTCCCTCCTGGCAGATGGTTCCTCACCGTCTGACTTTTGACACTGTCCAGGACAACTCCTCTGATGTCTTTAGGCTTCCCCGGCACACCAAAGATGATAAACAGGCCCAGACAATCCTCTCCTATCAAGCTACAGAATTCTTCCAGCTTATCAAATCTACTTTCCTTCCAGGAAGACTCCTTTACCCTTGGCTCTGGATTGGAGAGGTCACAAGGCTTAGATTCCATGAGAGAAGACATCTGCAGGGTCTGTACTGCCAGCTGAAGCTTTATTTGCTTATCAGATCCCCAAAAGGTCCAAATCCAGTCTGCTCCAAACAGTAAGGCTTGGTTCTTGGTCATCTTGGTGGTGGTAAGCCACTCATCCACTCCCTTTTCTTGGCAGAAAGTGATGAAGTGGATTAAGAAGATCTCATTCAGAGTATTTGCAGCTGGGCAGAGTTTACTCAGAGGATATTCAAATCCAAGATACTCCTTCAGTTTCTGAGCTGCGTGGACTATCGCTCCACTGACCACCTCACAGACGCTGAGGACCTCTTTGCTGTCCTTCAGAGCCAATTGTTGTGATGCTTTTTGCCCCATTTTCTCTGCACCCAATTAGTACTGTTCCCAAATATCAAACATGTGAACTTTGTTCAGAATTAGCTTTTTCAAAGCAAAAGTTCTGCCATGAAGTCATTTATTAATATGGTCCCAGTTTTCTAACTCTACAGCTGACTTGGTGTAGCTGAGCATATATACATACAGCTAAGCAAACATGTTAGGTGTCCCTGTTTGTCAACTGGGTGTGTTGTATTCATAGATTCCTGCTGGCTTATTTAGAGAGATTAAATTTCACACAAAACATCTGTTCTATCTAGGTTATAGTCCCTACTTTTAATCTTTGGTAATCTCTTCCAAGATATGTTTCCTTTTTCCAAATTTTAGTTAAATTAAAAATCATATGCTAGTTCTTTAAAGACCCATACACCTCTTTCTACAACTACTTTCTTCAAATTTGGTGAATCATTTCTGTTTACTTTCCCTGTAGCCCTTGTGCCATGACTCCTTATTCCCCAGCTCAGCGGCCTGTTTCCTCTCATATAAAAGTTTCTCAAAGAAAGACCTCAAACGTCTATCTGTTGATACATGTTATGAACCCTACTCAAATGAATCTATGGCCACTTATAAAGAGTTTGTGTTATTGTCTCCTATAACAGAAACAAAGGAAAATGAAGTAACCACAATAAAAATATGAGGCAATTTTATCAATTGACTTTATTTCCTTTCATATGGTAATCCCAGCAGTATATGATATTTTGTAGATAAAATACATCATCAATTTTTTAACCTTATTACAGATCATCGGTTATGTTATATTGTCCCGAATAAAAAACATTTGGCATCTGTAACAGTCTCCTGGTATTTGCAATCAGGTTCTAACAACAAATTGACATATAGTCATATTAAAATAAAATCCAAACACAGTAAGAGGCCAATACAGTTACCAAATAACGAATGGTAGGATTCAAAGAAAATTATTATTAGCATTAAATCATTTTAGTTATGAATAAATAGTAATCTAGTATTAGAAGTTCCTTGATGAATAGCTTGGTAACTTGCTGGTAACTTAAAAGATAATATCACTGACATTCAAATATAGTTTATACCCGAGTCCACTGGCATGTACTGAACTGCCCACTTCCGTTCTAATTGGTGAAAACCTGTCTTTTCCATGGTTGGCTGACATGAATAATTATGTAGCACTGAATAAAAAACAGAATATTTTTTCTAATATTCCTAAAAAAACATTCAACAGTAAATTTTTTTTTGTTGCAGCTTTCTGTTTTCTTTACAAAGAATTTTTGGGCCCATTGCTAGCTACAAAAAAACATGACCTATATTTTATCATCGCAAAAATAGCCATTATAAAACTAATTTTGCAGCCTCAGTTTTTTTGAACTGTGAAACAAAAGGTTCAAATATTCAGCTTTTTTAAAAGCTCCATTCATTGAAAGCCTGAGAAATGTACAATATGTTTAGGCAGACTGTTAGTACTTTGATGTGATGATGTATTTAAAAAAGGAGAAAAATAAGAAACTTAACACTGTAAAGGCTTTTGTTTTGTTTTTGGATTCTTCAGAAACTATTTCTACAAATGTTGGGAGGGAAGGGCTTCTGGATGTATTCAAGTTAATAGTATACTCATGTCCTTCAAGTTCTTCCTTGTAAGGTAAAAGGATCCAAGATTAAGGCTGAAATTCTTAAACTGTTCAACAATTTTGTGGTGCATCATCAAAAAGGGGGTATTTCATATATATTAATTTAGCCTCAATGATCAACATTGTTAAAATTCAGTTGCGGTGAAAGAAAGATCATTCTGACCTCTTCAGGAACCAGCTGGTATATGGAAATTTTGATCACCGTATTTTTTTTTTAAAAAAGTGACCTTTTCACCATCTTCCTTATGTCACAAAATAAAAGTTCTATTTTCTATGTACTGTATATATACATATATTTAGAAAAATATATAAAAAGACAGTAAGAGGCAAGTAGAGGTATGGCTGGCATTTAGTGTGTGCACCGAATGCTTTTGAAAGGAATTCCACACACTCATTTCGAAAGCACAGAATGTCCTACTTAGATAGCTGCAGTGAACACGGATGTGACAAAATCATGCACACACTGGTTCCTGCTTCCCAAATCCTCCGTACTGTGGATGCGAATGAAAACACTGTGGTAAAGGACTCATCTTAAATGCAACACTTTAAATAGAATATATCACAGATTTTTACATTAAATAGAGGAAAAACAATTATACTCTCATTTGCCAGTGTCTCATTTTGCGTGGCACCTTCAGAATTGGCAAGTCTCCCCTGCTTCCCGTTTCTACTTCTCAGTAAGCAGAAGCTGGATCGATAATCAATATACAGTCTGTTGCTTATTGTATATATACTGTGAGAGTTTGGAGAAGAAAGTAGAGGAAAGACTAAGAGCTCCTCATGTTCACCCAGGTGCTAGGGTCAAACATTTGAGTCTTCGTCTGTGATGCTGGCACTGGGGGAACGGGCTGCAAAGTCTTTAAACATGTCGTCTTCTTTTAACATGTGCTGGAAAACAAGGAGACGGGGGGGTCACACACTGAGAACCAAGAGCTCAGAACTATGCATTCTGAAAAATATGTGCAGTCCTTTGGGGTTATTCTGAAAGACATTTTTAAAATAACATTTTCAATTCATTTTACCAACTTACTGTCAGATTGTTGATGCCTTCAGAGAATGCACCTATCTGTCTCACTGTCCCTTCTGAATCTTCCATCTGCAAAGAACAGACCACAATGTGACATACTCATTTTCATAATTTCAAGGAGAGCGCAGCAAAATGAACAAAAGTCTAAGAAGAAATAATGGAAATGGTACTGAATGGGGTAGGAGCAACAGAACACTTTTGATGATAATCTCCTCTTGTTAGTGCCATCGGAAGTGAAAAATTAGAAGAAACATTTTATTGACACATCTAGGCTAATGACTTTGGTAACAGTACCAAAGCTATATGCAGTCCCGTGACTTTAATCTGAAGAGGTTAGGTAGTATGACCTCTCCATTCCTGACTTGTTTTAATACACAGATTTCCCTAATACCGAGACGGTATAAGACAGGTAAATAGCACAGGCTTTGGAGCCAGCCTAACAGGTTGAAGAAGTCACTTATTTCTCCATGCCTCAGTTTTCTTATCTTTAAAATGAGGATAACAGTACTCCCTACGTCTTAAGATTACCAGGAACATTAATATATAGTAAGTGCTTAGGATAGTACCTGGAATGTAGTAAGCGATCTGGAAGTGTTTACTATTATTTTATTATCTTTATTTTTAGTTATTTGAAGAAAACATCCCTTGATTAGCAGATACAGCGTACAAAGTTTCCACTTAGTGCTTGAGTGCTGGAAGTGCATTCAAAGAGGTAGTAGGATTGTATTTACCTGCTCTAATCGGTCCAAGTCATCTTCATCATATAGGCGCATGTCCAAACCAGGTTTAAATCCTTTCTTAGATGCACTTCCTGATGCCTGTCCCAATTCCATTGGACAAACGTATTCTTCACCATCTTCTTGTTTCTTCTTTCTCAGATTCCCAAAATTGCTGAAGGTAAGTTTCTTTGGCTTTAAAAGAAAAGCAAACGAAAACATCCAGGGATTTGATAAAATTCATATGACAAAGGATGGCTAACGTAATTTTTTTGTACCTCCCCTCCCCTACATGTATAATTTAATTATTCACTCTGTAATATAGAGAAAAGCAACTGGATGATTAAATTCATATAAAACAAAAACAGCAGCATCCTAGCCATATAAATGATGCATCCAAATATGATAAATGATCCTTGTTATGAATCTCAGAAGATTAATCTTATTCTTATCCACACCAACTAGCTGGATAGTCACTCTGATAAGCAATATATGCCAAGAACCTTAGCTATGATTAGACAGCACTTAAAGCAATGGGATTTCTCAGGGCTGAATCCAATTTTGCAAGGTTTTCCAATTTAAGATCAGCAAAAGGAAATGAAATGGTCTTTACTATATTTTCTCTTTGGGTGAGGCTATGTTTATCTTGTATGCCTATTCTGCTTCCATACAGGACTAGTAGTGCCTGCTAAAACAATTCTCACTCTTTAACAGACTCTTGCAGAGGTTTCACACCTGGCACATCTCTTAAAGGAGAAAAGGATCCAAAGAGACGGTGCTCAGGTAGATAGAGGGGCTTAAAAAAAAAAAGAATTTGGTACATGCATCTGGAGGAGCGGGAAAATCCTATCTGCACATTAAGTTCGTTGAGATAACACGTAGGAATGATTTCAAAGAAGAAATAATAGTCTGAATTTGGTAAGATCCACAAATCCAGATAAATTAGGAAATATCCAGTCTCTGCTGGTCTTCCTTCAATCATCTCTTAAGCATTTTTTCCTGACTTGCAATGCTGGTCAATTATAAGCCAGACAAGCTGAATCTGTGCAAGGAGAAATCTTCCTCTTATATTTGACTTATCGGTAGGGAAACAGGACAACTGCAGTCAGCATTTGGACCCAAGTCATGAGCTCTCTGCATTAGCGATACATCGATCACAGAAACCAACATCATGCTCTTCCTTACTGTTAACCCTAATAAAATAATTGACTTGGCAGAAACCTTCAAAATGCATTTTCTCAACTACTCTTAAAGATACATATACCTTCAACCCATCTATAAAACTTAGTAAACCTCAGAAGATATCTTATATCTTCTGAGGTAATGGGTAATGGTGAAAACTGAGTCATTGCTTCAGGCAATTACTAAATGGTACGAGCTTGAACCCACCTTCACTTTGGCAGTAGCCGTTAGTAGTACATAGTCTGGTAATTCCATGGCATCTCGCTTCTGGCGTTGGGCCTCAGCACCGATAAGAAGGTTGAAATGAGTGGCCAAATGCCTTCGCAACAAAGTCTTATTTGGTGGGATGTTCAATAACTGAGCCATTGTTTCTACATTAAAGCGAGGTTCTAGAACCTATAAAAGAAAAAAATTCAAATTGTTAAAAGGCACCATAGGTCATAAGTGTTTGTATTGTGCTGTACAATTAGCAAAGCTCTTCCATCTCGATTATCTCCAATGACCCTGTCAACAGCCCAGTGAGGTAGTCAGGGTATGGACTCTGATCTTTAATTTACATATCTTTTCTTCATTTTGCCAAAGTTAATAAGTGGTGGAGCTGGTCTTGAAATCCAGGCTTCAGGCATTACAATGTCAGTGCTTCTGTCTCTTTGGGGTGTTGGCTTTGGAAGCCAGCTCCTTATGCAAACAACATCAATATGCAGAACTACAATCTGTATCTTTGCAGGGGTTTTAAAATATGATCATATGAGAGACAGTGGCTAGATGTTATTCAACATGAAAGAGGACAATAAAAGAGAACTGGGCTTAAATGCAATCTAGAGTTATATAACATAAATAAAAATACTCTGAAAGGAAAGATCCCCTAGAAATAATGCAGGAGGGTCGGGTCAGATGATTTTAGGATCATGACAAGCAAACTGGTAATATCCTACACATTAGACCAAAGGAAACAAAATGAGTCAATATTAAATTGAAACAGAGTTTTACCATGAGCCCACCATGGACACCACTGCCTCTGAGGTTGGGGGCATATTCCGCCAAGTCCACGGAGCGTAGCCACTCCATCACTCGATGGTTGGTCCACTGCTGAACCTCTGATGGGGTGATGCTATTCTATGGGAACAAATCACCACCAAGAGCTTCAGTTATTGGCCACAGGATCCTAAATATTAAGCTGCATGTTCTGCCTAAAAGGTCTGCCCCATGGAGCAGTTACTCGACATCTCACTCAATACTTAAAGCAACTAGAAAAAGTGTTTGCTAATTTAAATTGTCTTTTAAAGAATTTAAGTCACAGAATTTCAAGCTTTCCTTCACACTAATAAAGCACTACTTCAGGAAAGGGATTCATTATTATGATATATTTACGTCTGTGGATTAAGGAGGCAAGAAAAAAAATACACCCAAGAAAAGGAGGAAGCATCACGGAAAAACAATCTTTGACTTTAGTTACACAAGTGGAACCACCATGCGGGGGTGGGGGTCGGAAGGAAGGAGTACAGAAAAACAAAGTCTAAGAATAAATGCGGCTGGACTGGAGCCTGTAAAGAGACCAGCTTCTCGTACTGTCTCCAAGAAGAAACGGGTCTTAATTTGACACACATGGACAGACACTGCATGGAAGTGTAGCCTGTAAGCCTCAATCTTAAATGCTACCTCGTCAGATGGGCGCCTCCGGAGACAGTTTGGTTCAAAGTTATTGATCCTCAGGACTTGGATGGCCCTTTTGATGCTGAGCTGGTGTAGCACGCTCACCACCTTCAAAGACAGCAGGTCATCCTGTAAAAGAGAACAGAAGGAGGAGCTCACTGCGCTGGCCCATGGCAGGCGACTTTCTTAGGGAGTCTCAGCAAACTGCAATAGAAATAGAAGAGCCCCTCAAACCAACATGCCCCAAGGGCTTGTCTGTGTTTTCAAAGCTTTCATTTAGTCACAGAACCCTTTTTCCTGTTCTGAACAAAATCCTCTCCAGAACCCCAAATGAATGCTGATCCCAATGAAGCTGACTCCTGGTGGTTTCTCTCTCCTCCAGACAGGCTCTGGAATTCCTTTGTTTCCTCCTGAGCTTGGAGAACTTGATCTGCAGATAAAACACATCCTTGGGCACTGGCCAAACTGCCCTCTCTTTTTCCTTTCAGCAGGTAGGTAAGAGCAAGCGATGCCCATTGGTGATCAAGGCTTGGTTTTCTGAACAAAGGCACATCACAGTTTTGGGGAAAATCACAATAGTTGCTCTTGTTATATTATTCTCTGGCCCTAAAAATTCTCTAATTCTAGAGTATCACGCTTTATCTAGCAGACATTGTGAACAATTTTGGAAAAACTATGTCAATTAGTGCAAAGGTTTTGGTGAAAGTTAGGGAGGAGAAGAGAAGTGATGTTATACTTATCACATATATGACCAATCAACCCTGAAAAACTTTCACCAGTCTGTGGCTGTTGGGAACATTTTCAAATATACCAAACACACCAAAACAAATTATTTCAGAAGAAGGTGATTTGGGGGCCAGTGTCAAGATAAGCACCAGTCTACTTCCAAATACACCCAGAAAATAAACAAGGAAAACATCCATTTTAGACACACCTCACTGATAACACATTTCTTATGAAAAATAAAAAGGAAAAAAATCTACCATAGAAATATATTTAAAATAAAACTATTAGACAACCAGTTTAAAGTCTTTCTTTTTTTTTTCTTTTCTCTTTTGAGACAGAATCTCGCTCTGTTGATCCAGGTAGAATGCAGTGGTGTTATCATAGCTCACTGCAACCTCAAACTCCTGGGCTCAAGCGATCCTCCTGCCTCAGCCTTCCGAGTAGCTGGTACTATAGGCGTGCACCACCACACCCGGTTAATTTTTCTGTTTGTAGTAGAGATAGGGTCTTACTCTTGCTCAGGCTGGTCTCGAACTCTTGCACTCAAGCGGTTCTCCCACCCTGGCCTCCCAGAGTGCTAGGATTATAGGCGTAAGCCACAGTGCCTGGCTCAGATTAAATTCTTGAGGATACTAACTGAGCAAAAAGTATTCCCTGAATTTTTTATGGATTGATTTCTCAAAAGTAGTGTCTCATAAGTTAGGAATGGTATTTACTTTTTTTTTTGGAGACAGGGTCTTGCTCTGGTGCTCAGGCCAGAGTGCAGTGGCTTGATGATTAGCTCAATGCAGCCTCAAACTCCTAAAAGCTCAATCTTCCTGCCTCAGCCTCCTGAGTAGCTTTGACTACAGGTGCATGCCACCACACCTAGCTAATTTTTCTTATTTTTTGTAGAGGGGCCATCTCACTACATTGCTCAAGTTGGTCTTGAACTCCTGGTCTCAAGCCATCTTCCCACCTTGGCCTCCTAAAGCCCTGGGATTATAGGCATAAGCCACTGTACCTGGCCAATATTTAACATATTTTAATCTAAGATTGGGATACCCATTCCAAACATTTCAATGTAAACTATTTTCATCTAACTAAAGCCTATCAGACTAAAAAAAATGTATAATGTTTATAATGTAACTAAAATGTTAAGTATTTTTGAAATTCTTTATAGTTTAAAGGATCTTAAAAGAAAAGACTGTTTTCTTTTAAATCGAAACAGAATTTTTTGCAATTTTTTAAATTTATGGAAGAGCTGACAAAGATAGTATTCTATATACATTTTACCTGGCTTTTAACATTTTATATAAGCATGATACATTCATCAAAACTAAGAAATTAATATACACAATACAATCAACTAAACTACAGACTTTATTCAGATTCCAACAATTTTTTCATTAAGGTCCTTTTTCTGTTCCAGGATGCAATCCAGGATATCACATTAAAACAGACTTTTTGTGACTTAGAACTTCTGGGGTTAAATTTCCCAAAGTAAGCTACTCTTTTATAGCCATGAAAGTTATACATATGCTTCTTATGATTTTAAGCCTGAATTTGCTCACATTCCCAGGAGAATATATTCACAGTTAGATTGGTAGGCAAATATTTACTGAATTTGTTCCAGGCAGAACAGGGAGCTATTAAAAGCAGGGATCTGGAAACAGCCTGTGAGTTCAATGGCTTTCTGTCACTTTCCAACTGTGGAAACTTGGTCACCAAGCTACCCAATCTCTCGATTCCTTTGTTTATGTATCCAAAAAAATGAGGGTAATAATAATAATAACTCAATAAAGTATTAATTGAGTAAAATGCTTAAAAGAGTGCCTGACAGAGTAAATGTGCAACATCCTACACATATGCAGGTTTCCATGATGGGCCCATCAAAGTAAGGACTTGGACTCAATGATAGAGAAGAAAACAAATCCCATGAGCTGAACTCCAAATTTCTTTGATATTGAGAAATTCCTACTTAGGCTGGCTGTTCCAAACTTTCCACTTATTTAAAGAAGAAGATACTTGTGGTAGTTGGGTCCATAGCCTAGTTTGCAAAAGGCTATCTAAATAAAAGTAACTTAAATACAACGTTAATAATATCATGGAATCTACAACAAAGTTCTGCTGGAATCCATCTCTCCCACTGTTGTTAAGTAGGGAACAGTCCTTTTGCTCACTGGCTGGTAGGCTAGAAATGGACAATAAGGAAGGAACCAGAGTGAAAGTTTAGGCTTCTTCCCTCCTTCTTTACTCCCAGTAACTTCTGCCCAAGCAGAACTGGGCTGAAGTGAGAAGGATGAGAAGTTTTCACCTAACCATTGTCCAAAGTAGAAGCGAAGGGACAAAAGAGAAGACAAGTCCCCGTGGATGTCAGCTCAAAAGGGCAGCGTTTTCTGAGTGGTCACTGCACGCACAGTTTAGAAATGGTCAGGGCTTCAACACTGTACATTCTCTCCATTTTTAAATATGTTTATGAGATATAATTCACATACCATAAAAGGCACTCAAAGTGTACACACTTCAAAAAAAACACACACAAGACAAAGTGCACACTCCAATGTTTACATTGTTGAATATATATAAACTTAACTTTCTGGAGAGTTTGGTTTCAATTAGGTTTCACTCAGATTAAATTGGGGTTTCAAATTATCCCAAGGCCATTGCAATTACCAAATGCTACAATTTAAGCTTCACAGGAAATATTCCCACCTCTCTCTTCAGCAACACCTTCAAACTCCGGTGGAATCATTATGAAAACATTATATTTTGCTTACACTATTTCTGTGTTTTTCAGAGAAAAAGAAGTTTTACTCCCCCAAGCCCCGTGAGGGAATCACTTACAACAGTCATGTAATGGAGCATTCGACCATCTACCCGTCCTTCATCAAACTGAGTTTTATACTGGGGGAGGCCAATATCATCCAGCCATCCTAAGAGAGAGAAAACAGTGTTATTACCAGGCCACAAAACACCTGTTCTCATGATTAAAAAGAAGATGCAGCTATATATAGTATCATTTTTTTTAAAAGAATAAAACCTCTTACTAGTGACCCAGTTGAAATCTAGCTTCCCATGATTGGTTTCTTCTTCTGATCCCAGGGCTTGCAGAGCCAGCTGGAGTTTCTTTCGATGAAGTGAATGCTTGATTCCAAGTTCCTGAAACAATGAACAGAAACACTGAATTTATGATGCTATCTGTACAGGCTTGATGCCACTGACAAAGGATGCAAATCATTCCAAAATAAAGCTAAAGACCCAGTTCTTCATTAAATTACAATAGTAACTTGGGCTAATAAAATGTTGTTGAACAAAGGGCCCTTAGAAAGCAAAGACCACCACGATTAGTTTAGTGTTGTGGTAGGCATTCCCTGGTGACTCATTTTCTTTGTAAGACAGGAACTGTAGCATGCATAATAGGAATTTTACTCTGATTTTGTACAAAATGTTAAATAATTGGGAAGAAATGTTAAATAATTGGACATACAGTGTAGGGTGCTTTTTGTTCCTTTTGCAAAGTAAAGTTGGATTGCATATATTACATTGAGAAGATAGGCCATCAATAAAGGTGCAAAATGATTTTGAGAAATATGGGCTTAGGGCTTATTATTATGCCTACATAATTATTTTTCATTAAAATGCCCATTGGCTTAAGTGTTTCATAAAGAGTCAAGACCAGGTCTTTCCTTTTAAGTCCATGATATAAAACAAGCACGAAGCAATTTAAAAACCCAACTTTTTCCAAGAGGACTTACTGGCTTCACTCACATGCCTTTCTGGAGTACAAAAGAATCCTACATTCATATTCGCTTTCCCTCAGTATCCATTTTGTAAACAAAATAGAGAAGCAGTCACCTTCTCTAGATCTTGTTGAGAAGCCTGCAAAAGCGTTTGGCCAGATATAATCCAGTGCTTGCCAGAATTCAGGTAGAAGCCCAAGCCCTGTTCCACGAGCCAACTGCACACTTGCTCCTTGGTCCATTTGGCAAATGGCATATCCAAATCACTATGGGAAAATGAATAACTGCATGAAAAACAATCCAAAGCCAATCCTTTGGCTTTTCATCAGTTCTGAACAACTGTACATTCCATAGATATGGAATTCCCTGATGATATACATTTCACCATGAAAAGCTTAATTTTTAGTATATATTGGAGGAGGAAGTCGTACCGGAGTTCAAAGTCATCTTCTAAAACCACTGCCTTTGTTTCAATGAAACCACAAAAGTTCAATGTGATATAGCAAGACCATGTTCTACAGAAAAAGACCAAGTTGAACCAATGTTGGAAGATTGGATTCCGAAACAGGAAACTCAGTCAGACTAAAAGAAACTCAAGTCTAACTTGAATGAACTTTAGCAGAATTATGGTTTCTCTCCAGGTGGTACCTGATAAGAGGAGGGCGATAAGCCATCACCGAGTGTAGTCTGAAAAAGCAATCAAAGCAAAATTCCTGTTTTCTTCTACTCTTGTGTTCTAAGAGAACATATGGCAAATGAGACTATTTGGTATTTGAAGAAGGACAAAGAGAATTTCCTCCTAGTTGAAACCTGTGTCCAGTGTTCTACCCATGTGGGAGGGACTGGGTTTAAAAGGTTTCTAGCCCATTATGCTTTTAAAAGATTTGGTATCGACAGTTTGTACTTTATGGTTGCCAACCCCACCCTTTCATGCTTAGTCAGTGTTGTAGCTATAAACCAGCTCTGAACTTTGATAAGAGTGTGGAAGTTCTTAGAGTCTTGTTTTTTTAGTAGAGACAAGGTCTTACTCTGTTGCCTACACCGGAGTGCAGTGGCACGTTGAGAGCTTTACTACAGCCTTGAACTCCTGGGCGTAAGCACTCCACCCGCCTCAACCTCCCAAGTAGCTGGGACTACAGGCATGCGCCACCATGCCCGGCTAGTTTTTTGTATATATTTTTAGTTGTCCAATTAATTTCTTTCTATTTTTAGTGGAGACGGGGTCTCGCTCTTGCTCAGGCTGGTTTCGAACTCCTGAGCTCAAACAATCCGCCCGCCTGGGCCTCCCAGAGAGCTAGGATTACAGGCATGAGCCACTGCGCCTGGCCCTTTTTCTATTTTTTGTACAGACAGAGTCTGGCTATGTTGCTCAGGCTGGCCTCAAGTGATCCTCTTTCCTTGGCCTCCCAAAGTGCTGGGATTACAGTGAGCCACTGTGCCCGGCCGTTCTTAGAGACTTAATAGATAAAACATTAGGTACTCTTGATAAATCTAAGAATTCTAATAGAATTTATATCCTTAAGTGCTTTCACAGATTCCATCAATTACTAATGTTTATCGAGCAGTTATTGTTTGCCAGATATTTAACACATATTAACTCATTTAATCTGCACTAATCCCTTTTCAAGTAGATACTAATTACTATGATAAGAAAACAAAGGCGCAGAGCATGGAAGCCATCGCTCAAGGTCACCCAGCTGGTAGAAAATCGCAAGGCCAGAAATCAAATCCAAGTTGTCTCATTTTAGAACCTGGTCTTAACCACTATGCTATCCCATCTTTCTAAAGCTATGCCATAGAGTACTTATAATTATTGTCTATGTAAAACATAAGTCCAAGAACCATTCTAATACAGATGTTGTTGACACTTTAGCTCTGGCTCCTCAGCTAGTTTGCACAGTCCTCACCTTCTGTTTAGTTGCTCATCAACCATTGACAAATTGCACCACTGTATAGATGATGGACCCATCCAGCAGGCCCACCATAAGCAACGACTTGATTTAACCCAGTGACGGTACGAACACTGCAGGAGCTCATGAGGCCTTGATGAATGGTACAGATGCAAAAAGTCCCTCAGTTTGGCTGTTCTTACCTGTTAGACTGTCCCAAGTCTCGAGACCAACCCAACCGGGGCCCCGCAGTTGCCCTTGTCCCTCCTCTTTTGAATTCAGACTCAGACATGTCATCTGGGTTGAATGTCGTTGACTGACTTCTCCTAAGTCTGAAGAAGACACAACACGAATTGCCTTGTTAGTCCTGAGGAGGCCTTAGACTTGCTAATTGGAACATTTTTAGCTGGCACATATATTCGAGCCATGTCATTAACATAGCCATGTCATTAACATTCGAGTATGTCATTAACATAGACATTTGAGTTTTTAAACTTTAACTGAGACCCAATAAGTTAATGAATCCCAAATCACAACCTGCCTTCCATAAGAGAAATACAAAAGTCTTACAATTCCATACCGATTTTCAGCCAGTTTTCCAATTATCCCTACATTTGAGCCACATATAAGACAAGGCCCACTCCATTTGTTTGCTCTTTTACTTACTTTCCAAAGAATTTCATGATACCTCTGGATTTCTTTCTGGAATCTGGAGATGGTGGAGATATCTGGAAGGGACTGTTCCCCTGTGAACCTTTTGGCCGAGAAGACACACCAGCAAGATCTAGGTGCTCTGCTGTCTCCTTTTCTGTTTCAGCTATTCCAAGAACAGAATAAAGACTTGATGAATTTTTAAATACGGTATGAACATGATTAGATGTTAACCTTCTTGGTGTTAGCAACTGTTAAGAATTCTTCTTCTGCTGGTCTATAAATCAGTGATTTATAAAGGGCACCCTATAAGTATTAAACATGGAACACAAATGTACATTCTATTCTACAGTTTATTGTGTGTAAAGTTAATAAACTTAAAATTGCAACTCCTTTGAAGATTAAAAGAGTGTGATAGGATTGCCATATTCTTTCCTCGAGTGATTCGAATTCATAATATTAATAAAATTAGACTCAACATTGCTGTGGCACTTGGTACTGTTGACTACCTCCTGCATCCTTTAAAATCATGTCCTTTAACTTCCTGTCATGACACTGTCCTAGATCTGTCGACTGACAGTTCCTTCTTTGCTGCAACTCTCCTGTTTTCTTCTCCTCCTCCATTCTGCTCCAAGATTCTAAGTTGACTCTGCAGGATCTCTTGACAAGCTCACCCAAATCTAAGCTCAGCACTAAATAATAGCTTTACTCATCTATAAGTAGGTGGCATTAAAACCTCTGGGCCTCAACTCTCTCTCCAGTCTCAATATCTGAATGTGTATATTCCCAATTCGGTGTGTCAGGGATATTTGGGACTCTACAAACCCATCCAATTTCCCTGAGAGTCTTTTCCTGTCATATTTTCTTACTTGGTATTTAACTAACATTAACTAACAGTTTCCCTGTTACTCTAGTTCAAATTATATGCCATTTCCTTTTTTCTTAAGAGATGGAGTCTCACTCTGTCCACCGTGCTGGTCTCGGACTCCTGGCCTCGAACAATCCTCCTGCCTCAGCCTCCCAAAATGCTGGGATTATAGGTGTGACCCACCTCACGTGGTGTCATTTTCTTTTTGTTCCTTCTTCTCCTTTGGCATTTACACCAAATACATTACCAAGTTCTTGCAATTCTTTATTTAAGAAATGTATTCCAACCTATTATGTCCTAGGCACTGAGAGAACAAGGAACCAGATATGCGTGTTTCTTTTGATATAAAGAAAACCAACTTTTGATTTAGTCTTGTTGATTTTACTTTAAAAAAGTAACATGCACATTTGTCATGCCAAAGCTTGAACCCCAAGCCTGAACTAATTTAGTTCTTTTAGCTGTCCCTTAGCGGGCGATCCTATACTAGCAAACACAAGGGCTACCGCTCTCCTCAATATGAGGTTTAATGCTTCATAAAGGAAACTAAAAGTTGTACAAAAATCACAGAACAGTGTTTCAGCAAGATATACAAGTTGCGGAAGTTGACTTTTCTATAAAGCATAGCTGTGACTCTAGGTTATATTAAGCAGCATTTGCCTCAGCGTTAACAATACAGTTCTTCTAAGAAACATGCAAAAAAACTATTTGAAAATAGTTGTCTGAATTAGATTAATTTATATTATGCATCCAGTGTTCATTCTGGACATTTAAGCCTACAAAGAGAAAGAAGTCACTCTTGCTGGTCCACCTGAATAGATACGTAGATATCCACGTGAGGTAATGGCACCTCTTGGAAAAACCCAAAGGAACTTTTCCAATTTAAACCCTACAACCATGATGGGTACAGGTGGCCCTGAAAATGGTGCCTAGCTCATTCCCACCTCAAAACCACCGTGTTTCTACTTTTTATTTTGAGAACTTTCTCCCCGGCTGTCCCGTGCTCTACTGAGCTGTCTCTCTCCTTAGATCACTTTGGAGGTGACTTGTCACACAACATGTCCAGGTATTTCTGTTGTCACTAGATATTACCTCCACCTTCAAAGCAATAAAGTGTCAGAATAATGTTCCCCTAAGAGAAGTAAGCCTAAAATTATCATCTTCAATATTTTCTACAAACCTTATTGGGCTAAAAACATTTATTTCTGGAGGCTGGGGAAAATGTAAGTCTGAAGAAGGGACTGCACGGACTTGGGAGTTAGCGTGTGATGATATGTACGCATTTCAAGGGTGAAAGCCGGAAGGTACCACGCCAGGACATTCCTGCCCTGCACTCAGAGAGATGCTGTGTATTTCTAGGTCCTCTCAGTGCTACTCACAGGTGTCCTTAGCATTGGTTAAAACAGTGCTTAGGCTTAGAAGCAAAGCTCTATAGAGTCCTTTTTAGCAGAAAGTGAAAGGAACACTCTGGAATCAAGAACTCCATTTTCTGATTGCTGCCAGCTCACTTTCTAGAGATCACAGATGCCATGAGCGAGGATTAGACGGGTTGGAGCACAGCACTGGCACAGACTGGCATGCAGGGGTACGATACCTAAGGTGGGTGCACTGGCACTTCGTTTACGATCTTCAGATATCCCAACAACGCACACAATCACACGCAGCCCAATGGAGAGAACACAGGGGGATGACAAAATGAAACACAGATCAGACTCCTCCTCACAAAATGCGCACGGTGGAGGAAAGGCATGCACCACACTCAGCCGCTGAGGTTACGCACCGGCTCCAGTAGGACTGTCGATGTTAATTTACCCACTACCAAAACAGACAGGAAACTCTATAATGACGTCAATGGAAATCACGACTTTAGGTCTTTCCACTAAGTTTATACCACAGGAGACAGCAGGCTGAGAGTCTATATATCTTCCCACCGCTAAATTAAATCCTCCAAAGCATTTTTTGCTAACTTTCCCACCAAGTCACTCACCTTCGTTTCTGAGAAAGAGAAATGAATAAATGAACGAGGGCATAAGGGAAAGGAAGTGACTGCTCTCTTCCTCCTTCTGAAAGAATCAGGGCGAAGGCATTTTGGCCACACGTACCCAAGTTTGGGGCACTTGCTGTCCTCTTGTTACTTTTGATTTTAAAAAAGCCCCGGCCAAAGGAAGATCTGGCTTTTCGAGTGCCAAAGGGGTTGTCATCCACGGAGGCATTGTGTCCTGGAGCTTTGGGAGGGAGGCTCTCGAACGGGCTGCTTTCCGCTGGAGGTTTCTCCTGAAAGGTCGGTGAGGATAATGAATCTCAGCATGAATGTGCACCGTCACTAGTACCTGCCAGGCTCAGTGCTAAACAGTCATGCTGCACACATGAACGTATCTGAAAGAATAACTGAACTAACACGTTGGTTACCAATATCAAATGCCACATTAGAAGTTGAAAGAATCAATTCTGAGAGCTACTTAAGAAACAACAAAAGCAACAAGAAAAACACATTCACCACTAGTCTATAATCAATGTGTTTAGGGCCTTAAGTATTTAGGATACAAAAATTCTCAAATCTTATTTGTTTTATTCCTCAAAATACACGGAGATATCACATAACTGGAATAATTACCAGTGGATTTCTTACTTATCTAACAATTATGACACAGCTTTGGCTATAACGCAGCTCATTTACTTTTAAAACTACGTACATAGAAGCCCAATATAATTATTCTAGAAAGCAGGTATTATTCCTCAGCTTCTCTACCAGCAATATAAGGAGATTCTACTCCAATCATTTTAAATATTCTTCCCAAAGAATGAAAAAATGAAGGTGCAATCAGGAAGTGTTTACTTTGAGCTTTTTGGTTTGTTTGAACTGGCAAGTATAGTAACATAGTATGTTATGTTGTTTCAGTATCATACAAAGATGCTTTGGTTTGCTTGTTCTCATTTCTCTGATATCTCTTGCCCTCTGTTTCTCTTTTTGCAGAAATGGAAAGAAGGGCAAGGGAACACAGGCATTTATTATTTTACCCTACATTAATACTGCTCATAGTGACTGAAAGTTTATAGATGGCACAATTAGTGGTATTATAATCAATGTCTCAACACCGATGTCAAAATCATTTAACCACTTATTGAACTGACTAGACAAAAGGGACTTTGATTACAGCTGTCGCCACCGACTGCTTTGTCAGTTCTGTCCACACGTGACTCAGGCAATAAGAGCCAGCAGTTACGAGACACATCTGGAAGCAACCTGACTTTTGGATTATAACCTGCAAAGGTTATTAATCGAAAATCGAGGGTAAGAAGAAGTGGAGCACCTGTTAATTACATCTTTAAAAATACCGAAATGTTTGCTTTAGGTGGACAACGGTTGAATAAAATAACCTGCTGGCAAACTAAGAAGGGCTTTTTGTGAGGTCTAAGGAAGCCCAGTTATGGTCATGAAGAACATCAAATAGCATGAC